TCTCCAAAACGCTCAGAGCCGCTGTGCAGATTGAGTTTACCTTTATATCCCTGGGATTTAATTCAGAGTGGCACTTCACTGTGGGGACACAAGGTTCCCTCTTTTGCAGCCATGGTTGTTGCTGTTGTGACTATTAAGGCTAGAAGGGGGCTTAAGGGCTGCAGGGCGGATTGAGAAATGGGACACATTATTTGTCCATGAAACATTATGTGACACAACATGACACCAGGCCATTTGTATGTAAAGGTAAACATTTCAGCGTGACGATTCGACAAGAGAGGACAAGGCTCCTGTCAATGTGGTTTTATACCCGCAGCTGAGAAAGAGGTGTTGTGGCATCGTGTGGCGATGTGGTGTGCGTGTGTGTGTGCATGTGAGAGTGTACAGAGCTTCTGTTCTCAAATGTAATCCCCATAGACACAAGTCACTTGGTCCGGTCTGAAAAGGTGTTGTCACACTAGTCTTTTCCTGCTGAAAGCGCTGACAGACTGTTGATCAAAGGTGTGTGTGTGGTGTGTGTGTGTGGGTGTGTGTGTGTGTGTGTGTGTGTGTGTGTGTGTGTGTGTGTGTGTGTGTGTGTGTGTGTGTGTGTGTGTGTGTGTGTGTGTGTGTGTGTGTGTGTGTGTGTGTGTGTGTGTGTGTGTGTGTGTGTGTGTGTGTGTGTGTGTGTGTGTGTGTGTGTGTGTGTTGTGTGTGTGTGTGTGTGTGTGTGTGTGTGTGGCAGGTACTGGCAATTAATTTAGTTAAAAAAGTTTTAAAAATTGACTGTCAGACACACCTACAGTAGCAGGGCCAACAACAAGACATTTTGCACAAGACTAAATGTTTCTTACCATAAGAAATTAGACCAAAATACATGAACCCTGGGGCGTCCTGGTTCCTTAGGGCTCTAAGACGATGGTTGCCAACTGTTTGGCATGTTAAATTGAGGAAACGTCAAAAGTAGTATTGTGTTACTTTACTTTCCAGAGATGGGTTCCACTCAATTTTGAATATCTTAAAAATGACTGAGAAACCACAGAAGTATTCTGTTAAAAAGAATTTCAGGCTATGCCCCTGTGACAATTCGTCATTCCCCTCCGGCTGTGTTTTATCATTTGTTTCTTCCTGCATGAGCTTTGCCACTGATTAGTACATGCTCTAGTTGGCATATTAACTCAAGAATATACTGAATCTCTCTACACCACCAGTTTCTTATCCCGCAAAGCTATTTGATGCTAAGAATTCATAAAAATATAACACCAAAGTTAATGTGATAGGAAAGATCAAACTTTCAGTGGATTGAAACAACAGAGCGTGTGTTGCAGTGAAAGAAAAGCACTAAAATGGGCTTTAGGTTCACAAATGCTGTACATCCGCTGTGTGTGAATGACTGCAGCACAGAAGGCCCCATATGGGTGATGCATGGGAGCCATTTTTGTTCAGGAGCGCTGATCCAGAGCTAGTCTTTTTTTTCGGGAGAATTCCATGTGCCTGGCTGCTTTGATACAGGCTGGCTGGTTGTATTTACATGCATGCAGTAACAATAACACCTGCACCAATAGCAGAGAAGAGGCACTTTTATTGAGATGAACTCACATCACCTTAAACTGAGAAGATGCCACACTTGACTTCAAGACTTGTTTGAAAAATGTATATATGTTATCTGACCAACAGGCCAAAATACCAAAATATTTATTTGACTAGAAGAGAAAATATTCACATTTGAGAAGGTGACATCAGTTAAACCAATAATCAAAATAATGTAAGAGGGCTTTAAAAAGAGGTATTAATGAACCTATTCTTTCAAATTTAAGTTGTTATTTCCCAAACAACTGTAAGGGACATATACTTTTTGTTTTTTCAAAATGCACTTCTTGCATAATGTACCAAAGCAAACAATGTATTGTCCTGAATTTTTGTTTTGTAAAATCCTCTCATGAGTGTTTCATCAAACTGACAAAATCCAAGCAATAGCCGTGTTTATGACACATTTGGGGCATTTTTGGCCTTCAGAGAAGTACATTTGTACACAAATGACCATCAGTTGCAGAATATTGGCAATACACAAGAGCAGCTGACGAGATTCCTGTTTGATAAACCACTCCATCAAAAGTGTTGGCTACTGCGTCTGGCGCCAAATGAAAGTAGGAGCCTCCATAGCACATACAAACACCATCAAATGAGAGCAATGACATGCTTCTTTTAACTCCTTCTCCTCAATAAAGATCATTCATCAGGCAGAACCATCCCCCTGGAATGTGTGATTGGAAATCTACGGACTTCAAATCCTTGTCCAGGACACTCCATCCATCTTTAACACGCCAGTGGTCTGTACGCCCTGAGATGAACCGCTGAACCAGATGCCTCCACTCAGCCATTCTCTTCTACCTTTTTTAAAATAATAATAGTAAATACCACCAAATGCATGGAACCCAAAATCAGGCAGCCACATCACAATTTCACTGAGTCAGTGAGGCATCCCGAACCTGCATCCAATTTAGAGAGATATGTGGCGCAGAGGAGTCAGAGGGCCCCCATATGCACTTCCCAAAAAACAAAACAGATGCAGGATTTTAAGTGTGTGTGTGTGTGTGTGTGTGTGTGTGTGTGTGTGTGTGTGTGTGTGTGTGTGTGTGTGTGTGTGTGTGTGTGTGTGTGTGGTGTTGTGTGTGTGTGGTGTGTGTGTGGTGTGTGTGTGTGTGTGTGTGTGTGTGTGTGTGTGCGTGTGCGTGTGTGTGTCAGGTGTATACATTGGCTAAAAGGGGTGATAGTGTTGTGACATGAGGTGCAGACTAACCTTTGGAAGGCAACAATCCAACTCTATGATGGCTTTTCCTGTGTTGACACGCATGGAGAAACCTTTTGAATCAGATGGCATTCACCCTCTGATTCCCTATCATAACGCTGTTCGCTCACTGTTATTATGATGGCGATGCCTATAGTTAGATACACTGAGTTCAAAATTATTCTCATGATATGGAAGGAAGGACAAGATGGATGTTAATGTTACACAGTCTGCATGAGAGCCAGGATGGCATAATTTTGCTGTATTCTTTGAGTTATAAATATGACTGATGGCGATAGCCAGTCTGTTAAATTACATTTACATATAGATTTACATTCCCATCAACATGTAATAATAGCACAGGCCTGAAGGTCCATACTAGTCACTCATACATGCACATATTCTGACATTTCATAGCTAATATGTGTGCCTTATTGAGGAAGGTGAGGAAAATGCCTAGCATCCATCAGGCTGACAATAGTCCATTCTGTGAAAAACAGTGTAGGGCCCTGCTGGATCTTTTGTCTGCAGAAAGAGATATGATGCTTTTGAAGTAAAGCAGCCCAGTTTACAATTACACATAATCTTAAATAATGACATTTTAAAATCATAGTGCCATTTAACAATAATGTAGTCTGAGGTTTTTTTTTTCATAAAATGTGTGCAACAATAAGGTGATCATATTTTTCCTAACTGTAGCACTGGTTTTCAGATCCCCTTTTTTTGAGGCATTTTATTAAATGGCAGCAGTGTAGAGAGACAACAGGAAATGTGTCTAGAAACTTGGACCAGGCATGCCATGACCACATGGTCAGCATGCAACCCTTTGGCCACCGAACACTTTGGATCCACTTTTGTACAGTTCAAGACCTAAACCAATGCATTCATATGATGGTTTATATGGACTGAGCCTAGAGATAAAAAAGAAGCCTTTACAACTAGCAAACAACAAAAATACTACAGAACAAGGACAACAATGATATTATACATTTGCCTTATAGACGACCAAATAACCCAATGATGTCAAGAGGGATTGTGAACTTCAATTTATATGGTCAAAAGAACTAGGCCCAAATTAATTTCTTAACTTGACAGCTTTTAATTAATATATTGGATCACAGTGGTCCAAACATCCTTACGATAAAACTGTTGTCTAATCCTATCATTTTAGAATAACTCCACATCACAGCAAAACGATATGCTTCTTTTATGATCAGGATATAGGAATTGCATTGCAATTTGTCTCGATATGGGGATAATACTACGAGAACCAGATGTACAAGAATGGCATAGAAACACTAAGTCTGTGTAAGAATATAATATATATAACTGAGAAAAACTGGTTTGAAGTTATGTGAATCCTTTGAAGTGCAATTTACCCTCTATCACTGGGGTGTCCAAACTGAAACTACGGCCCATCATGTGTGTGCATGTTTGTAAAAGTATAATGGAATATGGCCAGTCAGTTCAGTCAATTAAAGTTGAACACATTGTCTAACAAATTTTAGTTGATAAGAGAAAGCCCAATAATTTATTTGCATAACAACCTTGGAATATCCCCTTTATATGTATCCTTATTGTCTGCCCTTTACACAGGGCTGTGAAGAGAGATTGAGAAGCAATCTGAGGCTTCTGTTTTAAGGAATGAGCTCAGACACTTTTTGTAACAAACTAAATGAAACCCTATGGAAAGCTATGATATATGCTGTTTATTTTTTTTCTTAAACATATTCATATATCAAGCATAATTTACCTCCATTTACACTTATATCTTTAATTTATGAGGCAATATACCTTACCTCGAGTGAGTTGCACGTTTGTACGTTTATGTCTATGTACGTTTTTCTGTATGTGGCCCTCAGGGAAAAAAGTGTGGACACCCCTGCTCTATCACTTACAGTTGTTATGGTCTTCTGAGGCTTTTAAATTTACTTTGACAAACACGTTTAAACAACAGAAACACATACAATAAAAAAAAGCTTGACAGGTGCAGACCATCTTGCAAAGTTAAAAGAAAATTGAGAAATAATGTGTATTTTCCCTTTTATTTGTATATAACTCAATGGGTTTCTTGGCTTATGCCACTACCTTTTTTCTAGTCAGAATTGTTTTCAACACACACATTTATACTTTAATTTAAATATACAATATTTTTGCTGACGATTTGTTGCTATAACAACCGTTCACGATAGTCTTTAACATTTCCACAATATTCAGCAGGACGCAGTGAAACGTTACGGTCGGCCAACACATTTTCCTCTGACACCCGGAAGTGGTTTGCTTGTCTCCCTCTGTGTGGAAGCTGGATCAGGAGTGCTGTAACCTCTCCATTCGGTTGGAATAAGGTGAGCTAATGCTTACTGACTTCAATAAAATACAGACAGAGTGATTGGGTTGATTATGTAGGCTTTATTTCGATTGAGTTTTGATCTTTCATTCTTGATTGTGACGGAAGTGCTGCCTTGTTTACATCCGACCGGCTACTGCGCTGCTTATAAACACGTGGGCAGACTGGAGGGACACATGTTATAAGCAGACATGTGGCAGTAACTAGAAACAGGGAATTATATGGCGATAGTTTTTCGGATGGACCTGTGGTTTAGCGTCAGTAAAGCGATAGTAAATCACTTAACAGCATCTTCCTTCAATCAAAGCTAACGATCGCTTCAGTTCATTTGCTAGCCCGTTAGCATGTAGCCACCACCAAGCTAACTCCAGTTACAGGGCACATTCCCTTCATCTGTTTCCCTTCAAAATTCGTGTAACGTTTGTGTGCTCAGGACCTCAACGTGCCACCCTAACATTACACTTAGTGTGATTTTCCATCCATCAACCATGCCTTTTTAAATCCGTTAATGCTTCATTTATTTACATAAACAAAGTGCACACACAGACCAACCACATCAACATATGGACAATCAAAGTAAAATAATACAAATGATTTAACATTTACTTCAAAGTAAAGCTTACTTTCATCATCAAGATAAAAGTTCTCAGTATGCAACCTATGTATGCAACACGCCCCCGTTATATTCAAGATTCGTATGTAGTGTATCAATATTATTGTTGACGATTGCTCGGCTTCTGGTATTGCTGCTTGAAGCTTTTTTCGGAATTGCTCATCTAAACAACTTCACTGTTGACACTGCACTTCCATTGGTACTAACACACTGACCAAGTGTGACGTTTAAATCGATACATTGTTAAAAGCATAACATGTACATACTCAACTTACCTCAGAGTTGTGCCTAAACGTCTTGCACACACATCATGCATGTAATCAGAATCAGAATACTGTGGTGACCACCTATTTACTACACTGGGACATAATTCATACATGGAACTACAGTTGGGGGTATTGTTCCCACACGGACATGTTATGTGTTTTCTATATATGTTGTGTGCCCTCCTGACTTCACTCTCTTCTTCCCGGACTGCAACCGGACAACATGACCTGAGTTACTCTCCAATAAAGTACCCTTTTGCACCTTCCTTGCACCGCCTCTGACTCCCTATCTCTCGGCACTACAATACCTTCATTAGTCCCACAGAGGGGAAATGTACGTCGTTACAGCAGAAAAGAGCCAAAGACGGCTTAATGTTATGTAGAAGCATGCATACAAAAGTATTAAAGTTAAAAAAAAGTTATAAAATAAAATAAAAAGTTACACAATTTACAAAATACACATCCTGTAACAGTTCTGAGGACCTTACATGTATTGTTGTTAGCATCTGGTGCTAGCTAGCTGCGCTAATGGATATAAGGAGCTGTTTAAATGAAAACAGAGGAGCAACATTTCGCCGACAACTGCGCCGAGCACTTGACTTTATGCAGGAAGCCAGACAGTGGGACATTGTACGAAAAGTCAGCACACTCAGCACGGATAGTGCGCGTAACATGATTGCAGCGTCCAGGCAGCTCCCGTTCGAGCATATGCCTTGAGTTGCACATAGCTCCAACGATCCATCACACACACACACACACTTTGTATTGTATTGTATTATTGTATGAGAGAGGTTCCAGGTTGAATTGAGGCGAATAATGTTCAGAGGTTGTTGTGTTTAATATTCATGAGAATATTTGTCATTGTTCAAATGATAATAAACACACATATAAAGCATATTTGTCCACTCATATGTTGATAAGAGTATTAAAAACTTGAAAAATATTCCTCTAAGGTACATTTAAAACAGATAAAAAAGGTGCGATTAATCGCGATTAACTATGGACAATCATGCGATTAAATATTTTAATCGACTGACAGCCCTAATATATATATATTGCACATAGTTGGGTGGTATTAGTAGGTGTTTTTGGTTATTCCGCTTCTTTGTAAATGCAAAAGTCAGTAGACTTGTACAGCATAGATTAACAGACTACAGAATGTGGCATTGCTGTCATGGACTGCTTACAGTTCCGATGTTAACCCAGGTCAGATTGGTGGCATCTCATCCTTTCTCTGAGCGGAGTGTGAGGCATTGAGTGAAAGGCTAATGTGATAGTACATCCTAGAAGGACAAGCATTAGAGGTCCCATGTCATGGCCCTTTCCACTGATCATAATTCCATTGTTGAGGTCTACTAGAATAGATTTACATTGTGGAATTTTCCAAACTCACATTGGTTTCTCATACAGCATCTCTGTATAGTATGTGTATTCACTCTCTGTCCTAAACGCCTTGTTGGAGCTCCTGTGCGCCGACCCCACACCAGTAAGCCAGCTCCTCGCAGCAGTGAGCCTCTCAACGTCCTGCCGAGTGTGTGTGTGTGAGGAACGTACATTTGTTAACGTAACGGCTCCGCGGACGTAACGTAACGGCTCCGCGGACATAACGTAACGGCTCCGCGGATTGGTCCATTTGGACCAATTGGTCCATGGGGTCGTCGTTACGTCACTTGGTTCCCGGAAGAAGAAAAAAATCTCCAACGAGGCGTTCTGGGGCAGCATAGACAGGTCTTTTCTGTGTTAGAGCTTTACTCGCTACGGTGTACTTTGAGGGTTTGTGACTTTGCAGACCGTTTACATGCATACAAAGCTACATAACACACAAGGGGACGGTTAATAACCGGAAAAGCATGACATGGGACCTTTAACCTAACATTTACCAAGGCTATGACTTATTCAAGTATCCCAGTAACCTGTGACAGTAAACACACATACACAATACAAGGACAGAGGCAGCTAGATAGAATTTCACCAACATTCATTTTATGATTTAAACCTGAGCCTTTCCTACTGTAACATGCAGAGCTTTAATTGGGCAGTGAGGAGAACACACATGTCCTTGGGGTCTCGACTGTGCTGGGGCTTTACATTCCACCACTGTAAAACACAGTCTGTCATTTGTTGGCTTCAGGTCACGCTTAAACTTCAAAACTGTCGCTCTCCCTCACCAGCCCGTAAGACTCTTCTTTCTGTCCCTTTAATCCCCGGCGGCCGGCTTGTGACCGTGTAGCGTGGCGATTCTACCGTGTGTGCGGTCTGGGAGCCAATCATCTCCAGCCATCATGGCACAGACACGCAGGACTGGACAGAGCAATGGGCCGGTGCCCCTACTCTGTCCTGTGTGTGTCTCTATGTGTGTGTGTGAGGGCTAGAGAGAAAGAGTGAGAGTGGGGAAATTAGCTACAGTGTGTAATTTCAAAGTTTCCAACATAATCATTAAAAGTAGGCCAAAGATGATGTTTTTTTAAAGTGGTCTAAGCACCAAAGCTCTGATTAAAATAGTAAAACAATATAACTGAGTGCAGCTGATCCATGCTCTCTCTCTCAGCTTTGTTAACAAGCCCCATTGGACTTCATGACGGGACCAAATAATCTGCCCATCCTAGGATTGATGCTGGCCTGTGTTATCTTATTCCCCAGTGCTATAGATAATAGTTCACATGACTGCATGAGGGCCTGAGGTGCATGAGGTGGACTTTTCATACAGGAAAATAATTAACAAATGATCTTGGTGATAATATATTAAATGGATATCCTGAGTCGGTATTAGTAGATGCAAAATGAATACAGTGTGATGTGATGATACAGACATTTGATGCCTACAGTATAATAACTAATCTTTATGTGTTTTTATCCTGCAGGCAGTTTCGGCCCCTGAGATCACCATCTCCCCTGGTGTGAGTGTCGGTAAGGTGTGTGCATGTGTGTGTGGATAGAGTGATTGGGGAGATGTACTTCATGTGCCAGGATTGGGAGGAGTTGGAGGACGATCTCTATCGGGAGGATGAAGGGGACTCTGAGGGGTCAGAGGACAACAGCGAGCTGGAGTTCCGCCTCTACAGCCAGCTCCACTACTCCTCTAATGCCGGGGTGGTGGAGGAGACAGGAGATGAGGAGGGGGAACAGGACAGTGAGCATCTGGAGAAACCTGAGCAGATTGTAAATGTGGACAGAGAACAGGACACAACTGGAAAAAGTAGGCCGCTGTCACCTGATTTGAGCAAGTTACTACAGCACAAGAAGAAGGACAAGAAACCTGATAAACAGAAAAAGGGTAAAAGTAACCCTAAGGTTCAGAGGTCATTAACATCATTAATGGAGGAGGTCATCGTGATTGACTCCGGCCCTGATGTCATCTCCATCTCTGAGGATGACAGTGCTGATGACACTGCTGCTGCTGTTGACACTGCTGCTGCTGAGGAAGATGGAGTCTGCGCCTTAAAGGGACGAAGCTTAAAACAGCTGCAGACTTCAACCCCGGCCCCACAGGTAGAGAGCAAAGTGTGAGAGGTCTTCAGAAACAGATTACCTTACGGCCCCATGATTACTTTTCCATACATATGAAAAAATAAACAAAAGCGAGTGCAGCTGACCCATGCTGTCTCTCAGCTTTGTTTACAGGCCTCGTGATTTTCAGAAAGAGACCAAAGTATGTGCCCATCCTGGGATTGATGCTGGCCGGTGTTCATTTATATCTCAGTGCTATAGATAATACTTGACTTTACTCTAATTGCATGAGTTGGACATTGCATAAATGCATAAACAACAAATAATCATGATGAAAATAATAAAGTTAAAGCCTTTTATTGTCATTATACAAAAAGTACAACGAGATTCAGAGTGCAACTCTGTCCCAGTGTGCAAAAACGAGACATACATAACATTAAAAACACGGCAGTAGGACATACAACATAAGCAATCATATGGGGGGAATAAATAGTTACAAATATTGATATAAAAATAGTTTCTAAATTGTAAAAAAAAATATTACATATGTATTTTTGATCCTCACATATTTGTTTTCCGTTTAAAACCTCTGCACCTGCAAACACAAACCGCTTTCTGTGCACGGATCGCTGTGCATTCGTGTGTGGGTTTTTTGAGACTCCCCTGACGGTCACCCGATTCGTACTTGTAATTTTTTCTATCTATAGCCAATCAGATGTATCCTTCATTCTAAGCCAATCACATGAGCGCGCCCCCACGAGGGTATGATTTATTGCGTTCAAGACACTTCATGTACGCATTTTGCGCAGTCCGGTCAGCTCGCTAAACAGAGGGCGGAGCATCAGGTGATCATGCAGAGCTGCATGTCTCCATCAGACTCAGCAGCTGATCTGATCTCGCGTCCGGTTATACTTCACTCGCGGTTATGTCCATATCGATCAGATCCAGCTCTCCTGATCGGCCTTTATAGAGAGCACAGATCAAACTATTAAGAGTGAATATCGGCCGATAATGACCGGCGCGGCTCCCCCCGATGACTGTTCACTGTCTAGCACTGGCTTCGTAGTGCACTGATCGATTAGGCTAAGCTAACCTGTAGCTGCTCCCTCCACACTCACAACAACTTCATACAGACATAAATAAAGCAGCTGTATTCGCCATACAGGAAACACACATTTAAAACGGTTTTGCCTGCCGTTTTTGTGTACACAAGCATTCATCAATGGTTTGGAAAGTGGCGCTGTACCTTAATAATATAACGGCTTGTATTTACGTGCATTTCCTGTTCGGAACTTGGCGCTGTACTGAGAGTGGAGGTGTCCTGAGATTAGCGCCTGCAGGCAGGCTCCATGGACCTGTCAGCTCCGGACTGCGCAAAATGCGTACATGAAGCGCCACGTCATGAACGCAAGAAATCTACCCTCGTGGGGGCGCGCTCATGTGATTGGCTTAGAATTGAGGAGACATCTGATTGGCTATAGATAAAAAATGTCAAGTACGAATCGGCTGACCGTCAGGGGAGTTTCAAAAAACCCACAAACGAATGCACAGCGATCCGTGCACAGAAAACAAATATGTGAGGATCAAAAATACATATGTAAAACTTTTGTCTGTATTTGGATTTTATTTACATGTATATGAAACGGAACACATTTGTGTGTGCATTGACAAACACAAGTGTGGATCCGGAAATACAAGTGTGAACCCTTCTGTGTGCATACTGTATTATGAGACTGTTCTGAGCCCATACTGAAAGCTGGTCAGCACAAGCTTTGAGTACTTTTCCGAGTACTCCATTGGGTCCTGCAGCTTTTCCAGGATTCACAGACCTCAGCGTCTGCTTCACCTGATGTTCTTTGAGAGTGGGAGGTGGTATGGAGCTTGTAGTTTGCAGGGACAGGGGCAGAGTAGAAAAGTGGGGGGGTCTGCTAGCCTCAAAGCAGGCAAATAAGTGGTTTAGTTCCTCTGCAAGGTGGGCGTCAGCTCTAGTAGTGCCAGATGTTTTGCTCTTATAGCTGGTGAAGGCCCTGCCAAACGCACCGTGTGTTGTTATGAGCGAGATTCTCCTCCACTTTTCCCTTGTAGTCCTCCTTCGCAGCCTTGATGCCTCTCCTCAGGTTAGCCCTTGCCATGCTGTACTGGGCTGCGTCCCCCGACCTGAAGGCTTTGTCATGGGAACTCAGGAGAGACCGCACCGCTCTTGTCATCCATGGTTTTTGGTTTGGATAGACCCGAATGCGTTTTTCCACAGTTACAGTGTCTGTGCAGAACTTGATGTAAGATAAGACAGCCTCTGTGTGTTCCTCCAAGTCTGTCTGGTCAAATATGTCCCACGCTGTGTGTTCGAAGCAGTCTTGCAGTTGTGAGAGTGCTCCCTCGCGCCAGGTTCTGATATATTTAACCACCTGCTTGGTGTTACTTCTGAGGGGGGTGTAAGCTGGGATGAGAAGTAGTGGTACCGCTCTGTAAGCATGCTTCAGGTTAGAATACGCCCGGTCCAGTGTGTTCTTTCCTCTGGTGGTACATCGTACATATTGTACAAATTTGGGAAGCACATTTTTTAGACATGCATGATTAAAGTCTCCAGCTACAATATGAACTACGTCGGGATGGACCAATGAGTTATCCTGAAATGGCAATGGTAGATTAAGCATCAACTGTGACAATGTTAAATACATTGATACACCAGACTGACATCCAAGAACTAGCAGCACCAGTGGCAGACTGATGTATCGCCTTCTTCTTGGCCAAATAATTTATCTTAAACATACCACAACAACATGTTTTCTTATCAGAAAAATCTAAGTTTAGAGTGTTAGAAACTGTAAGACCATCACAGTATGCTTTTGAATGAATGTTTCCCACTTGGGCCATTTAGGGTTTCCTACTAAACTCACAATACTGGCTGCTTTTTTGGTCTAGCTTCTGTCCAGTGGCCAGTTTCAGCCAGCTGATTGATTTCTGTTGAGCGTGTTGAACTGGAGCAGTACTAGAAAATGACTTGCTGCTGTGGTGGAGCATTGCCAGACATTTTTAACTCTAGCTGTACATTTTTGTATGCTGGCAAATGAAGAACTAGGTGATATTGTTTTATTTTTCACTCTTAATTCTTAACTTGTCAGCAGTTTGATCAGTACACAAAAAAAGGTACATAATGGTGCAACTTAAAGCTTTGTATTTACATCAATATGGTTGTTGTTTGGTCATCTAGGGAACCCAGAAAAGAACTTTAGGCATCCCGGTGACGGTGGTCTCCAGCAACTCAGAGTCTGATTCAAGCGAGTCTGAATCAAATTCTGAGTCCGAGTCATCTGATGATCTGGAGAACTGGATGATCCTGGGTCCAGGGAACCAGGACGGAGACCAGAGCATCTCACTTAACCTGGAGGGAGGGTCTGACAGCAGCGCAGGTATGTCTTTTGTTTATAGGTTACCTCCTCTATGTGTATGTTCTGTTTGTACTGGGTGTTTTGTGCATTGTTCAGACTTTATTGATATGATTTTTGTGTGTTTGAATATGTAGAGAATGGAAGCAGTGAGTCTTTTTGTCCGGTCCAGCTCATTCCTAACACTTAGCCTACCTGCAGCACATTGATAAGGAGCGGGCACAGCAATGGGCTACACTGTGAACCCTGTGTGTGTGTGTGTGTTTGCATGTACATATGCAGCATCTGTGTCTGCATGTCTTACGAGTTTGTAAGCTCTTAGCATTCCTGGCACTGTCTGCCCAGTTGCTCGTTTCTCTGATGCGTCTTTAAGTATGTTTATGTGTATTATGTATTGATATGTGCGTGAGGGTTTGTGCAAGTTTGAATATTTTATAAAATATATAGTTTATAAAATATTCCAGTTCTAATCAGCATGCATGTGTACATACACACGCATACCAACAGTCATAACGCTAATGCCAAAAACAAACAAACGGAGAGACAACAACGCAGGAGGAGAGGTTGGGAGAGATGGGAGTAATCAAAAAATGAATAAAAATGTTCCTCGCAAATCTCCTCAGATCTACACATTATCTTAACCTGCAGTCTCAGCAACCTCTCTGGCTCCCCCTTTTTTCTCCCTCCTACCTAACTCTCTCCCATCTCATTCTTTTATCTTATTTTCCCACTATTGTGCTCCCACTCTGCCTCTCTCTCACTGTTTCGTTCTCATTTGAATTTCCCTGGGCTGATGTTTCTGCAAGAGTGCTCACTGCCTCTTCTACACACAACTGGGCTAAAGGGGGGGGTCTGGAGCTGGTGAGAAGGCTTGAGGTTTTGTCCTGCTTTTGGGAGGAAAGGAGGATTTTAGGTCTCTGTTTCTCTCTCTTTCATTCTCTCTCTCTCTCTCATCTGGCGTCTCTCTGTGATCTTTGGAGCTTGACCTCATGTCTGCACATGGGGGGTCATGGGTGTGGTGTTGAAGGGGCCTTAAAGTGGGAGGAATGGGGGAGGGTTTATAAAAAAGAAAAAAAGGAATTGAGGGCAGAAAGAGTTGAGGGACGAGCCTCAATAGTCTTGAGCTGCGAGATAATTTGATTCTACATAGTGATCCCTTAGCAGCCGTTGAGTGTGTTGCTTGTGTTTACACTTGAAAAGGGGTAAACATGTGGAAAAAGATAATTCAATAAATAAAAGTATAATATTTTTTGCCATTAAAATCAACAATTAATTGATCCCAACAAGTATTTTCTGATTTGGCTAATTGCTCCATTGTTGTCTACAAACTATTCAGAACGCATCAATGAGGAACACTGTTGCCTGGGTGACATACTCATTCATTACGATGAACATGTTAGTTTATCAACAGTCAGTACTGCTGCTGTAAACATCCCATGTGCACCAAATGTGTATAAATCCACAGCTTAAAATAGTCCCCATCAAATGCACTATTGACTGTACTTCTGATAGTCACATGACACCAAGCACCAACATGGTCAAACAGCGCTTAATGGCAAACTGACAATGTGGATTTGTATCTTTTCATGCAATTTATTAACAATACCAAAAGTATAAACATTGTCAGCTAGGGTTTATTTTAGTGTTTTTATAGCATTAATAATAATAATAAATTGCTTGAAAATCTGTGGGCATCACCTCTTATAAGCACATTTTTTTGGGGAAACCCTGCAACTTTGTTCTCTTATTAACTAAAAACTTCATGCAAGATATCATATATTTAGTTTGCTGTTGTTGTAGACTATTTTGTCCCACAATGGATTGCACAAGGGAAATAAATAAGTGATGACAAAATAAGAAGATATAGGAAAATAATAATCCCCAACAAATATTTTTCGCTATCAAGGATAACCGGCTGTGGAGTTTAAAGCTTAAACAATTGGTCAATAAGTTGATTAATCGAATGTTAAACAAATATTTTGGTTTAAACAAATAAAATCCCCAAGATATCCCAATGATTTTATAGCAACAGCTCTTCAAATGTGAGAATTCGCTGCTTGATTGTTTTTAATATCATTGTAAATTAAAGATCTTTGAGTTTGGAGTATCGACTGACACAAATACAAGACCCTTATATCTTTGATCCTTCTGTAGACTGATTGATAAATCAAGATAATAATTGTTTGCAAATTGCAGTTTAGTTGGCACGTGTATCATCTTCTCATGGTACGAAATGGTAAAGTATATCTATTTAAAGGATGAAAGCAGTATAGGATGAACATTTGTAAGCAGTACAAACGGTGATATACTTTGATTATTCGCCCATTGTTTCTGCATAGCTGGTGTAGGTTCTTATTTTCTTGTTCTAGAGAATATGTTTCACATGCCCTTTTTATTTTCTGAAGAAATGCGTCGATACAATCAGCCTTAGGTAGATTTCTTATCACTGCAATAACCTTTATATTTATAACCGAGGGCTGTTGGAAAAATAAACAATTGATTTCTGGTTTTATGTGCCATGCCATGTTGTGTGTTGACTCCTGTAGCCCGGGAGCCCAGCTAGTTTTTCACATTTGTGCGAGTGTGTGAGTAACAGGTTTGCACAACAGTGACTAATAGTATTTGTACGCCTAAACCCCATCTCAGCATCACCATCAAATCACATTCACTACACTTAGTCTCCCCCTCTCACCCTACAGAAATTGAATCCTTTCATCCTCTTTCTCATTCTGACTCCCTCCTACACGGTGTCACTTGTTCACATACTTTTACAATCTAATCTTTTTTCACTCCATCACATATGTTTTTGTATCAAATACATGGACACACATACACGCCGATGCACACTCAGCCTCAGGAGCTATCTGTCGCCTGGCTGTACAGGGGCAGCTGTTGGTGGGTGGATCTGTAGGGACAGTGGATAAGGGAAAGAGAAAAGATAGTAGAGAAAAGGGGGATGAGCGAGGGCCGTCTGCCTGTCCGGCAGCCATGCAGCAGCAATCAGATGGAACAACAGAGAAAAAGCAGGGCTTCCCAAAATCCAGCTCAGTGCCTCTCCCACCCGGAGAGGTGTGCGTGTACATGTCCGTGAATGAATCCGGGGTGTAGGCGGGGTGTGCTGAAGCTAAACTTGAATCGTAAGTGGTTAAACTTCACTCAGTGGTCACACTTTTTTTTTTCTTCTTTCTCTGTTGCTCCCCCCAGTTCTCTCATTCACTATTTTGTCCCCTCGGTCTTGGTCAGTGCACACCAAACTTTGTTTGAGGCTTAGAGAGCAGCTCTGGCTTGCTATCGGGGTGGCCGATCACATCAGAGTGTGTGTTGATGTGTGAGTGTGCTTCAATGAAAGTCGTGGTGAATTAGAGAGAAAGGAGTGTGTTTTTATGTTTGTACCCAAAGGTTAACTCACAGAATAAGAAGGTAAGCTCATTTCCTCTCCTCTCCCTTCCTTAATCTTGGTGTTCTCTCTGCTGTGTTGTTCTTTACAGTTTTATCATGCAGTCTAGATTGCCTAGGTATAAAACACAGTTTTTTTTCCGCCGTGTGTGTTAAAAGCAGTAGTATGAGTGTGTTCACTCTGAACCTTCATATGTGTGTGAATGAGTAATGCTGCTTGGGGCCTGAAGCTTTTTCCCGCAGCTTCCTGCACTCGGAGACCTCAGTTGGTCTTTGTATACGTTGAAGTGTGTTTAATCCTAACTCACATGCCAGTGTACTGTACAAGGAAAATATGGATTTAGCTTGCTTCTGTGTGTTTTGTGGTTGTGGGCATCGGGATTGTAGAAGTTGTGTGTGTGTGTGTGTGTGTGTGTGTGTGTGTGTGTGTGTGTGTGTGTGTGTGTGTGGTGTGTGTGTGTGTGTGTGTGTGTGTGTGTGTGTGTGTTGTGTGTGTGTGTGTGTGTGTGTGTGTGTGTGTGTGTGTGGTGTGTGTGTGTGTGTGTGGTGTGTGTGTGTGTGTGTGTGTGTTGTGTGTGTGTGTGTGTTGTGTGTGTGTGTGTGTGTGTGTGTGGGGGGGGGGGGGGGGGGTGTGTGTGTGTGTGTGTGTGTGTGTGTGTGTGTTGTGTGTGTGTGTGTGTGTGTGTGTGTGTGTGTGTGGTGTGTGTGTGCTATAGGTGGGTGTGTGTATTGTGGGTGGGCGGGCGCTGCAGAAGGGAGGCATGGATAGGATCAGCTCTTATCTTGGCTGCCCAGTGCCACACGAGGTGTAACGCCACACCCACACTACCACACAGTGTGTTTGAACAGGCGCACACACACACACCATCAAATTGCTGTGCCATAGTTGGACTTGTATTATCCATTTTTAACAGAGGATATGCAAATTAGATGAGACTACTGTGTAGGCCTAATATTAGCGCATGCGAAAATAAATGGTAGAAATTCAGTTGAAAGCCTGATGCTTTCATTTAAAAAAATGCATTTGATTGAACAATCATTTGATGCCGGCAGCCCCAGAAATGTAATGACAACAGTAATCTGTCAAATTAAAACGGCAGTTTCTTTGTAATATTGAAAATCCCCATAGTCAGCGGTCGTGTCCATTATCGTGTTGAGAGTGAGGTTTACTTATATTAGTCAAAATAAAATCTGATTTTGGCCTCTACGTTGTAATTGGCCTACTGAGAGGATGCACCATGCTCATCATGAGGCTTAACAGATTGAAGGCTCTGTGGTAGTTTCTATATTTATTTGACATCCATTTGTCTGGTATATATCCTTTTGTGCAAAGTATATATTGTTCCTTTGGATTGACCTTCATCCGCCTAGATATCAACTTTCACAGCTAACTGGAAAAATAAGTCCATCTCATTTCACTTTTTATTTTTCCTCCATTGTTCATGTAATTGCTGAACAGATCCACTGTAAGTTTAATTCTGTCAACTGTTTAATCCCTTCTTTACCTTTAGACCCAGGCCCTATAGTTTTCCCAGCGCTTTCTTTTAAAAAAGTGAGGTAATTAACACAAGCCAACAACCGAAGAAAGGTGGCAGTATACATTTAAATCAAATCATAAATCATGTGAA